AAAAACTAATGAATAAAAATGAGTGAGAAAGGAGCAATATATGTGGGGAAAAATAAATTTTGTCCAAACTTATTATTAGTAATATTGTATACACAGAAGTCTATAACAGTTAATATCATATTTATTATAGTTTATAGAATTTGAGGATATATAGATCAGTTACCAGAGGTCATAGCATACATGTTCCTTATTTCATTCTAATATAAACATACATCCTGACACTTTTTCTTTCATGGTAGAATTTGTGAATTTAGTATATATTGTCCTTGTTTTCAGATTTTAAAAAAGAAAAATATTTTAAAAACATAATATATTATTTTTATAGTCACCACCTAAGAAAAAGAAATGAAATCAAACATCTTATTAGTTTCAAGACAGTGAACAAAGTGCAGTAATCTACTGCACTTGATGAGCCCAAGAGTCATGAAAAAGTATTTCAGTTTCTCTCATCCTAAATGCATAGGAAGTTATTAATAAGCTATAAATACATTATTATTTTAAAAATTATTATGTTTGCTGTGTGATGAAGGGAATAGGAAGATATATAAAAGAAAATGTTATCTTATAATAAGGCTATTTCTATTTATTTCAAGGAAAATAAATGAATTTATTTTGGAGGAAAAAGTGGACACATTCAAAACAAATTAAGTGGAATTGGGAAGATATAGTCATGTATTATATGGGAGAAATGAAAATATGGAATAATGGCATAATAATAATTTTATTTACAAAATAAATTTACTTAATGAATGGGACCATTATGTGTATCTATAGTGCACCAATAAACTTAATTAATTTAAATAAATAAATCTACTAAGAAGGGGAAGATTCAGTAAAAGAAGATGTTCATAGGGAAAACAGAGAGATGAGCTTGGACATAATACATTTGAGGAGTCTGTAAATAAATACCAATCAGCATTGTCAACCTTGTAAATGGATCCAAAGGCCGGGTGCTCAACATTAGTTATTAAAGGGAGATGTACATCTCACAGTTGCTATAGATGGCGTTAAACCATAGTAACAGATGAGATCAATTAAATAGTGCATGTAGAAGACAAGGGTGAAATGGGAAGTCATGGCAAATGAGAGCCCGTTGATGCACACCAGAGCACAGATCATGCGACTGTGGCCTCCTGGATGCCAAAAATAATTTCCCCTCATGGGGAAAGTTTGAGTCCAACATTTTAAGTATATGGTTTGTTTGTTTATTTCCTTCCAGCTGGTACTGTTCTCAATTGACAGAGGAAATTTTACCACCAAAATTCACCTGAGGAGCTAAAGAATAGTATCTACTCAGTTGTATCCTCATGTAGGCTTGCCAAGAATTATTTTCTGATTGGAAATGAAACCTTGTAAGCTGAATCTAGAGTTATCCCTAACAGTGTTCACTTCTAGGCAAGATATTTTTTTTCCTGGCACTATTACTTTGATATGAATTAATTTACTTCCTACTCTGCTTTCCATTTAAATTGCACAATTGGCAAGATAAACCCAACAATTTAAATTGGAATGGAGAAGGACCCAGAAAAGATAAAAGTGAAAAGCCTTGATTACAGGGATGCTCTGTTCTACTCTCATTGTATCGGTGGAACATGAGGTCTGAATTAGGATATTTGAGAACTGGGCTGTGAAGAGAAAAATGTCTTGCTCTGCCTGTGCTAATTGCTAGGGTTATAAAGACAAACATGAAGGAAGCTTGGGAGAGGGATAAAGCACATGACACCTGGACTTTCAAGAGGATGAAGGCCCAAGTTTCTTCTCCTTCTTCCTCCTCTTCCTTTTCCTCCTCTTCCTCCTCTTCTTCTTCTTCTTCTTCATTTGGTTGTTAGAGGGTCTCAGACTCATAGTGATCCTCCTGTTTTCAACTGGGCTGGTGTAGCATGTGGTGCTGGGGATCAAACTGCGGTCCCTGAGCTTGTCTAAGCAGGCTCTTTATCCCACTGAGCTATCTTGCCAGCTCCTCAAAGTTTCAGTAGTGGCAACAGAAATATGATGCAACAATCAGATCTTTCCTGTGCCCTTCCTATACCCCACTTCATTTCTGTGGAGTCAAAGCCTGCCAACCTGGTTATTTCCCTCCCAGTGCTCAGTGAAATGGTCAGGCATTTGTAGATCTCAGTAATGAATTATCCCTTCACAGGACAGATTCTAAGTTATAACTATTTTGTTTCTTTCAGATAATTAAGGGTTAATTATTAATAACGATTTTTATCAATGAATGGTTGTCATTTGTGCATTCAGGACCAATGATCTATGAAGTCCACTGTAAATAAAAATGAAGCAAGCCAGATGGCCAAGTGTGACACATGCTTGTAGCTCTATCAACATAAAAGTTTAGAGAGGAAGACTGAGTTCAAGGCCAGCCAGAAGAACATAGTAAGACCCCATCACAAAAAGGAAAAATTAAAAATTTGCAAGATTTTTCTTTTTTCTTTTTTTTTTTTTTTTTTTTTT